AAACTCTTATCAGAGAAACTATCTCTTACAAAAATAGTTTTATTATTGATTAGCCTTATAAAACCCTGGGGAAGAAAATATTTTAAATAGTGACTCAAGAAGGTTTAAAGCATTTCTGTTTTTTTCTTTGTGCCTTTTGATTTTATCTATCATGAAGAGTTGGCTAAGGCTGAAGTCTAACAGATAGCTACTGGAAAATTCTCCCTAGTCATGACTCAATCTGAAATTCAGTTATTATCCTACCACTAAAAAGGATGAGGAAATTTTTGTCTTATCCAAGGCAGGTTTGAGCTTGCTTACTAAAATCCATGTAGGAAATACCAAAGAATGAAATGGAATCAGAATATGTAGAGAAAATAATTATTTAATATGTAATAAATGCCACTGTTAGTAGCTGTAAAAATTTCACTGGGTTAAATAGAACTGCATTTTCCATTTTGGTGTTATATTATTTTCTAAATTTTCTTCTAATGAAGTTTTAGGAAGAATCTTAACCTTAATTCTCTCGCACAAAAAAACCTCTTATTTTTCTTTTGTATAGTATTTATGCAGTTAGAGATGCTCTTTAAACTTGTTTTTTGCCCTGTTAATTGGTTAGAAGGCTTGTTTGAAAATGCAGACATTCCAGGTTCTTTTCTGGGCCTTCTTGATTTTCCTGTGTTTCTTCAAGTGATATTTTTAAATCCATCTTAATGTCCCTGGCCTTTATTTAAATATACTGGTGCTAGTCTGGATTCCCTGGACATTTGGAAGTCTTACAGTTTTTCTACCTAGATCCATACTACTTGGCGTTGGACCTAGTATAAGATTCCTCAGTCACTAAAATAATTACATTTAAGAGTCAGTAGAAAAATGGTGGTTCTCAGAGTGTTTTCAGCATTTCTTCAAGCCTGATGGTAATCATATTTACCTTACACCTACCACTTTTCACTTATGCTAATGGAGTTGAAGAAGGAAGCAAATCCAGAATGCCTTATTTTTCCAACCTGAAGATACAGGGTCAAAATATAGGATGTTTCTAAACCAAAGCTAGTAACACTAGTTTTCTTAGGCATCCTGATTAGCAGATCTGCATGTCTAATAAAAATGAGAAAATGAAATTGCAAGAATGCAGGTTCTTTGGACAGCTTTCCAAAATGAGATTGGAGGATGGTTAGCAATAAATGTTTTTGATTGTAAAATGATTAGTGCCTAATGGTTTTAAACCATTTCACATTTCTTGGGAGCTTAAAATATGTGTTCTCTTCCCAGAAAAAGAATGTGCATTTAAAAATTTTAATTATAAATTTTATTCCTAATTTTAGGGGATTCTGGACTCCCTGAAACCTACCTAGCTCTTTCTGTGTGGAAGTAGATTCTGAGAGTTGATTTCTTCCTATCCCAGTATTTGAATCCACACAGTCAAATAGTATATTCTAGCTTTGCAAATGGTTTATGAAAAGGCTAAACTGTTTGCAAATCTAAACTGTCAGTGCTTCAGAAAGGCAGTATCTTATAATGGTTAAGAGTAAAGGCTCTGAAACCAGTCTGCTTGGATTTAAATACTGATTTCCCTACAATGGTGTTTCTCTATGACCTGTGTGACCTTATTATTGTTAAGGATTATGTGAATTAATACAGATTAAGTGCTTAGAACTGAGAGTGGCACTCTATGCTAGCTATTGTTATTATCTCACAAAGGGTTGCTGATGAATACCTGGCAAAGAAAGGTTCTCTAGGCTGCCTCTTGCTTGGAGTAAGGGTGTCTCTAATTTTCACAAGCACCATGTGATGTAACAGTACGCACTGATGCTTGCCTTCATGGAATATGTCAAGAAGAACTTCCTTTTCTACTCCAGCATTGGGCAGACCTCCTTCCCCGTATTCTGTGGAGTTGTTTAAAATTTTATGAGAAACAGAGATCCGTTTCTTATAGGACTCTTCTTTTTCTTATCAGTCAGCAGCTTTGTCTCTGAGCAGAGTAACTGCTGCTACTCTTATTCACATTGTACAATTTTGGTTGTCTGCTAATCTCTTTTTGTGGCCCATTCCTATTTTAATTCAGTTCTTCTTTTGTTTTAGAGATTATGCAATCTGTTAGGATTTGTGATATATATACAGTGAAAATGCTTGTACTGCCCCCCCCAACAAAAAAAATATCATATAATTTAAAATGCTTTGAAATGAGTATACCCCCTCCTTAATCCCATCTCTCATCTGCTTATCTTTTTAGCTTTATTATGTATTTATTCTTAAACACTATCTCAAAGCTTTATGTAAATATAAACTAAATGTGTGGATGAATAGGAATATACATGCTTCTACCTGCTTTTTAGTTTTTGCTCAGTATTATAACTCTTGAGTTTTACTTATGTCTACATGTACAATATTCCATTCTGTGGCATCCCTCAATTTATTTACCCATTGTACGGCTCGTGGATATCTGCCTGTTATTTTCCTGTTACACAGTGCTATCATGAAATTATTTATATTTTTAAATGCACATATACAGATTTCTCTAGGGTGTATACCTAAAAGTAGAATTACTGAGTTATAGAAAATGCATTTGTTCAGCTTTATTAATGCCAAGATATATATAGAGAGATAGAGATAAATAGCTAAAATATGTAATATATCAAAATGGTACATGCTTTTTGAGGGGGAGAAAGCAAGGGGAAGGACAGTTATCTCATTGCTCCCAGGACCATACAGGAATTAGAGACTAAGGGTTGAAGTATAACCTGGAGGTCCTGGGCTTCATATGGTGAAGGATATGAGCAAGGGTCGGGGGAGGGAGAGTGTGGAAATTTTGCCAAAAGCATTTTTTGGAGGCCTTCATTCCTACTCATCCAGGAGTGGTAAGGCTAAAGGAATGAACGAGGAGGCTGGTAAAAGGTGGTTTTATTCTGAGCGTGGAGTGCTTTGGGGTCTCCTTTTGACTCTTGTCCGTAGTGATTTGGAGGACCAGGGGGACCGGGGGGACTTACCTGGAACATGTGGAACAGCAGAGTTCTGATGTAAGAACACTTAAAGCTCTGGTGCTTATTTGACTCTTGAAGTTGAAGGAAAGGAAGTTGGGGAGGGGTGGACTTTTTTTTTTTCCTTGAGCATTTGGAGCTTTAGGGCTTCCTCTTGATCCTGTCAGTGGAGCTGTGGAGTCCTGGGAGAGGGGTAGTTTTGCCTAGAATAGGTAGAGCCATTTTTGCCAGTCTAGTGAATGTGAAATAGTATCTTGTTGCAGTTTTAATTACATTTCCCCTATTTCACTCTAAAAATCCAAATTTCTTTTTCAGTGTCAGGCTTACTCATATAAATTTATTAGTAGCTTCTGTGTTGATCATATGGATTTTGTCATCTATTCCATGATGATACTTCTATGATTACCAGTTCAACAAACTGAAACTTTTACCCTGGTAACTCTTGTTAATAGACAGTTAGGCTATGTATGTCAGAGTCATTGAATTGGGACTGTACCTTCTGTTCATTCTGCCCCCAGAGCTGAATTACTAGCCCTCACCCACACATTATTACCTAACCTCAGTAAACACATCAGTATATCTACACTGACTATCTCATTTCATTTGGGGCTTCTGCTAAATATGGGCCCCATGTTGCTATACTTTCAGAAGCTCTTTAGTTGCTTTTATAAACTTAGCATTTGCAAATAGATTCTTACATTTATTTTTGCTAGTCTGTGGCTGACTACCCCCACTGGTAGGAATGTAAATCCCTCCCCTTTAGCGGCCATATCTTGTACACTTATGCCTTCCTCCAGTGTCCTTTAGTGCTTTCATAAGATCATGTGTCAGAATTCACAAAAAGAACACTGGGAAGAGGCAGAGCTCCAGTATCTGTAACATTCCCTCCTGACCGTCTAGTTCCAGATACCCTAATGCCCTACTTTGTTTACTTGTTAGATTCTGAGTTCCTGAGGGAGGGCAAAGATTGATAGCTCATTCCACTGATTTACTGTATATTTTCCAAGAATAGCTCAGGGCTGGTGCTTAGGACTATGCTTTACTTTCCTTCTTAGACCTTACAGTGTGCAAAAATGTTTATAAGGTAGATGTTGGCGTTGAGACTTGCCCCTCTTCATTTCTTCATCAGTCTTCGAAAGAATATCATCCAGCTTCCTATGGTTAGCTATTAAGAATATTAACTAATAATTTTGTTAGCTTTATCCTGGATGGATTGAAGTTTGTTACAGAAAGGCTATTGTGGTTGTTAATGTTATACCACGCATGATGGGAATAACATATGGGGGCACCCATTTCGTAATTATATGAGAAAACTCAAAGGTTAAACATAATGACTCAGTCCATATATTCCCAAAGTGCAAAGGAGTAGAAGAAAAGAAATATAATCCTAAAGAAATCGCAACAGAAAAACTAAGTGTAAAAATTAGTCACAAAAAAACTTCATCTTAAATGAATTAGTGGCCAAGTAGGCATAAGAATAATTCCTAACAGATAAATTGGTTTAAATCCATATGAAATTTTCATGGGGAAGCCTTGACTGACCTCAGTGATTTCCAAATGCATGTTTCTAATAATACTGTGAGCAACTGCAAAGCCCATATGAGTGGTCTGAAGTTTTATCATTTACAGGTATGTGAAGCATTCCCAGACCCTCCAGCCAGCTCAGCATCAGCTGCTTCTCTGTGACGGGTCCTGATTAAGGTCCTCCCAAGAAAGACTTCATTGGATCCACGTTCAAGAGGACTCTTCCAGGTTTTCCTGACCCTCCAGACCCCCACACCTCTATAAAGTGCCAAGGCCTGAGAACTTGGGTACGTGTATTACAACGGCAAGAGTGCCAGCGCCAACAAAAAGACACATTGGACCTCTCAGCTCCTCTGTTTCACCAAGCAGATATAATAACTTACCAGCAAAGCAGAGTAAGCCAAGTGCCTCTGCATGACACCACCAGCTGATTACATACAAGAAAAAATAACTAATTTAGAATAGAGCCCTATCTTTCCTTGAGAAGCTGGGCTTTGAAGGAGCTATTCTGAGATCTGTGCTACTAGTAAGTGACTGATAACATTATAGACTGGATTGGTCCCTGAGTTCAGAGACTGAGTGACATATAAACAACGAAATCTTGAAGATTTGCACGGAGGTGCAAACCAAAGCTAACCTTCTCCAAATAATGTTGGTTGGATTGAGAAATTGCTAAACCAAACCTGTAATAGGACTGATCATTTGGGTGTCTCTCTTTGTCATTGTTGTCTCTTTCTGTTACATTACTCTCTGTGTTGTCTGTCTAAGCCCAGATGTTTGCAGATAATTCACATTGCCCTGACTGTGGACAACAGTGGTTCCCTAGTTTAGAACTAGGCCATTGGTTGTACCAAACTGAACTTGTTGAAAATGAATGTTACCAAGTATTCTTAGACCGTATTAATAGGGCTGATTATTGCCCTGAATGTTATCCTGACAATCCTGCTAACAGAAGCCTTGTTCTTCCATGGTCTTTCCCACTTGAATGGGCACCCCAAAATCTCACCCGGTGGACTTTTGAAAAAGCCTGCCACCCATTTCTTCTGGGTCCTCCACTTGTTAGAAAAAGGATACATGACTCTAGAGTAGCTGGTTTTAACCCTGCATTGCAGTTAATCTTGACCAGAACAGACAAAACCTTAAACAAAAAGCTTGGCCAAAACAAGTAACTCTTAAAACAGACAAAATCATGGCGACTCTAGAGTGTTTTGTACTAGTAGCTCAAGGAAGATGGAAAAATGATTGTTTTCTAAACCTGATTCAGACTGTCGCTACTTTGGGAAACTGCCTAAATTGTTGAATTGGTTTCTGGGCCTACGCATATTTTGTTCAACAGTATTCTAGCCAAACTGTTCATCTGAACCATATTAATCTATGTTCCCTATGTTTTTGAATTAGTTTATCCTTCCTAAAAAGCTCACAGCCTAATTATGACACGATAAGATAATCACGGAGAAGAAGGCCCATATTAGGTGCTCTGTAATGCTATTTCTAGCTGGATTCTAGATTTGTCTAGTAAAACAACTAGACATTTTATTAAGAAATTGCATCATTACAAATTCTTATGCATTGGACAGTGATAATGGTATATGTAGTTTATCTGTATGTAACCACTTACTTATCACTGACTCTGACCCATCTTTAGTGTGGCAGTGACATCATTGGTATCTGAAACTGTCAGAGAAATCACATTTTATTAGGCATTATCTACATAGGTTACACAGAAATATGCAGAGAAGCTGCTGCCTACACTTAGTTGGCTTTCCATAAGCAAAGACAACCCAGTCTTTGTGGTGGCTAAACTTAGAATATCCTTCCCTGAAAATTGGAAAGTACTGTACAGTGAGATCAATGACAAAAAGCCGTTAGCAAGCTTGACTGTATATATTAGAAACAAATAAGGGCGGCATTCTCTCCTAAAACTGGACAGAAGGTCGTGCTAGACATCTCCCACATTTTGGCCGTCATATGCTTGTAAGAATCATGGAACCAGAGTTTGGGTTACAAAACTTAAGGAAAAACTGTTGAAAACATCCCAGAGGCCACTAAACAATTTTAAAATTCCACTTAAGATGCTAGATAACCTAGTGCTTACATAGCAACTCAACAATGTTTTCGAGATCCCAGGTTTTTTCTATTCCCTGCTAGGATCCTTATCATGTTGACTGTTTCCGCAACAAGTAGCGTGACTTGTTGTCATTTCAGACATTTGAATCCCAATCAAAGGCTAGAAGTATGAAGCAAAAGTTATCTCCCTTTTAGTCTCTTTTTTTTTGGGGGGGGGGAGAAAATTGTTCTCAAAAGTCCCTCACTATTTTCTTCTTACATGGGTTTACAGAGGAGTCCGGGAAGCCTAGCCAAGGGGCAGAGGGTTGGCATTGTCTGGAGGGTTGGCACAATGCTTCCCCTGGTAAATCGGGGCTCTTTTAGGAAGGAAGAAGTGAGGAATGAATGGCTGTTGGTATTCAACAAGTCATGGCTGCCTAATATTGTAAAACCTAAAGTTACTTGTTAGTCTATGTAAAGAATGTACCCCAGAAATCTACCCTGTATCTGCCTTATGTCTGTCATGATGGAAATTCTCTTCTGTTAAATTGCTGAATAAACTGTGTGGACTGCTAAATTGAGTGAAGACTAGTTAGTTTATGCTTACTCCTTGGTTAAGAACTCCTTCAAGTTCATATAAATGAAAATTTACTTGGAGGTATTGCTTTTGGGGATGGTGTTAATGAGCAGTATTATTGTCCCCCGAATAATCAGAAACATGTGGGTCCTTATCACACTTTAGACCCATTTATAATCATAATTATGGTGGATGTAATTGTTGTATGATTTACTATATCACCCAACACTTAGCACAACACTCTTAAAGCAATTTGAGAAAAAATTGAAGGGTATGTCAGATTCACCCAGGTCACATGTGCTAGCGTCATAGTTCAAACTGAGACTCTGCTTTGTGCATGATGTTGACTCTAAGCTTTTTTAGTGTCATGGTTTAAAGGTTCAGTCCTTCAACCAGACAACCTGAGTTCAGATCCTGACTCTGCTCTTAACATTTGTGTGTTCTTAGGTAAGGTTCTTACTGTCTCTGTATCTCAGTTTCCTTATCTGTAAAGTAATGTGACTATACATACATCACACATTGTTATGGAATATCCATCCATCACGAGGTGGTTGTGAAAATTAAAAGAGCTAATACAAAGTGCTTTGAATGCTGCCTGGAACAAAGAAGACATTCTATAAATGTCAGATATTGTATATGTTTTATATGTTATTTGTCTCCATAGGATTATAAATTGTTTGAGGGCTAAAATACCTGTGTCTTTTAATCCCTAGAGCCTAAAATTGCATCGTCTCTAAAGTAAGTGTTAAAAAATTTACAAAAGATACATATTTACTGAACACATTTGTCATCATGGCATTTACACTTAATCTTGGGTCCTGAGTTGATTCTCTTTTGACCTTCATAATTACTAAACTTCTAATTTCCCTCACCTTTACTTTTTTTAAAGTTTGTATATTAATGTTACCAATTACCAGAGCTTCCTGATATCTCTTTCCTAGGTCTCCCCCAGGTCACCATCTCCTAGTATCCCTCCTCATCCCTGGTGCTCACAGCAGGAGGTTTTCAGGACAGGGAGGTTGTATGAGGTCCTCCTGCTCTCTGAGCTATAATTTTGTTCCCACAGGCAGCTTTTTCTTGTTCCCTCTCCTTTTTTTTTTTTTTTTTTTTTAAGATTTATTTATTTATGCATACAAGAACTGGGGTACAGGCCAGAGGTGTTGAGGGGGTGAGAGGATTCACCAGAGACAGAGTGGGGAACAGAACAGGCAGATCGACTGAAATACACTGCTGAGGGGAGCAGCGGGAAAGACAGGAGAGGTCTGCTGCACCATGTGGGTATCTCCCTGGCTGGGGATCGAACTCGTGCTGCAGTGGATGCGGATCCTTCATTAGTTGTGTCTTAATCCCTTGCGCCACCAGGGAGGCCCTGTTCTGTCTCCTTTCAACTAGTTGTAACAAAATGTAGGGGAGGCTGTGCTTGTAGTGTGCCTCTAAAACAAGTTCATTGTGGGGTTTAAAGAGTTGCCATTATAGATAGGCCTTTTCTTTTGAGGCTTGCTTTTCTCTGCGGAAGCTAATTTACTTTATTATTCATATTTAAAAATTATTAACTACATTAAATAAGTAAAAAAGTGCAGAAAACAACATGCCCAGCTCTAAAATTCATTAACATTTTGCCACATTTACCTTAGTTCTTGTTTTTTTTGAAGAACATAGTGTTGAAATTCACTCTTGTTCCTATCCTATTCCTGTCTTCCCCCCACAGAAGCGAGCACTGAATGGAATTTGATATGAATCCTTTCTGCTCATGTGTTTAATTTTTAAATTTTATCTGTATTTAAAAATGTATTGTGCAGTAAAAAAGAAACACTTTCAAAACTTTATTTCTCAGTAACAAATTTATATGTATTCATGGGAGCATCAATTTCAGAGTTATCTTCATAGCATTCATTTTGCATGTGGGCTTGTGCTAAAGTTGGTTGTGTGACTGCTGTGCAAAGGTCATTTGATGTACCAGACAATGAAATCGATGGGGTTGTCAAAGCACTCACCCTTGGTGTGGTGAGATGAAGCAGAAAGGGTACATCTTAAAGAGTCAGACACCAGGGAGCCACGTTGACAGAGGAAGCTGCAAGGCAAATTTGTGTCTCTCTTTAGAGAAGTATCAACAAGTCAAAATGAAGGAAGGCATCCCACAGCCTACCGTTTGGTACAGTCTGCATTCATGGGCAATTAAAACTCAACAGCTTTAACCTGACCTCACAGAGACAAAACAAAATACTGCAGATTTCAGAGTCACAGGGAAGTGGACATAACTGCTGGCAGTGAGGCTAAATTTCATTAAGTTAATGCCTTTTGTGTCATATGGACACTCAGGTCTTCATCAGTTTCTTTTTGCCAAAGAGAGCATCATAGGTTATGTGTTTTTGCGACATGCTTAAGGAGTGTTTTTTCCTACATAAAAATGCAGAACAACCTCATTTTCCATTTGGATGAGGCCCTGCCTCACTTCCGTTACGCAGTTCAGGGGTTCCTAATGTACACGAATGCTGGATTGGACACTGTTCAAAAGATTGTCCTGCCTTTGGAATAGTGACCTTCAGCTCTCCCAGCTACCAAACCACCTGACTCCTTGTGAGGATATGTCGGGAACCTCTCCTTTTGTGCCACTTCTTCCTTGCAGCCTTGAGCGAAATCCACTTCAACTAACAGTGATATGTTACAGAGGATCTGAATGAAGTGGGCTACAGAAGTAACATGTGCCTTCTGACAAGAAAGATGCATATTGAGCATTTGTTAAGCTTATGAAAATACCCATGATGGTTCTTTTGCAAACTTTGTTTTTGGCTGCAACTTAGTTACCAAGTAATATATTTCTGAAGGCATTCAGCTCTATTTGAAATAAAGGATATTTATTAAGGATATTCTACATACAGTGAAATAGGTACATTTTAAGTTTGATGATTAATGTAATCACCACCTCGGTAAAGATATGAAACACATCGCTTTACCTATAAAGGTTTCCCCAGGCCCTTTTCCAGTCAGTACTCTTTCACCCTGTAACCACTGATCTGTATCACCAGAGATCAGAAGCAAGAACCATTTATGTTCTCATGTGTGACTTCTTTCACTCATTTTTTAGATTCCATCATTTTCATCAGTAGGGGGTTCATTTTTTCCCATTTATTCTCTCAGAATATAGTGTTTTGTTTCTTAAATCTTATAGAAATTCTTTAATACTGTTATTTTACAACTTGTTGAGATCTGTAATTCATTAATTGCTATATTACATTGTAAGAACATGCCACAATTTTTTTAGTCTACTCCTTTATTTATGAACATTTAGATTTTTCCTCATTCTTCCTCATTTTAAACAATGCCACTGCCATGTTGCTGTGCACTTGAGCAAATTTCTGGTGTATATCTAAAAGCAGAATTGCCAAATTGTAGAATATGTATGTTTTGTCTTGCCATATTGCTCTCCAAAGTTGTAGTTAACAGTTTGCCTTATTGCCAGAAGGATCTAAGAGCTCTCTGTATCTCCAAATCCTCACCAACACTTTGTATTGCCTGACTTACATTTTTGCCAAGCTGATGGTTGTGAAGTGGTATCTCTTAGTAATTTATTTTGCTTATCCTTGACTCCTCTTCTTACAGATTGATTAGACTTGAAGGTTTCCTCCCTGTTTAATTGCTTGTTCATCTCTAGTGCCCATATTTTACAGCATTATTTGTCTCTTACTGATTTCGGGGGAATCTGTATTCTGGATATTAACTCCTTGCTGAATATATATGTTGCTAGTATTTTTCTAGGTCAGTGATTTTATTTTTTAACTTTGGTTTTGATGACTTTTATGGAAACTTGTCATTTGTCAAACTTCCTCATGGCTTGTTTATTTTACATCTTTTTAAAGAAACTCAAAATTATGAAAAATATTTGGTGTTGTTTCTGAAAGTTTCAGATTTGCTCTTTGCACTTTGCTCTTTAATCTGGAATTGACTTTTGGATCAGGAAGGAAGTAGAAATCCCGCTATTTGAATAGTCTGTTGTCCCCAGATTATTCATTAGTCCTTTCTTTCCCCTTTATTACTTACACACTTTCCTTTACATAGATGCTTATATTTTGTAACTCTATGCTGAATATTGTTTGTCTGTTCTTGCACCAATGCCCTGTTTATTACTGTAAGTTCATGATAAGTCTTGATATGTCTGGTAAAGATACCCCTTCCATCATCATAATTATGTACGTAATAGATAATCTCAGAATTATCTTGACCTTTAAAATTTTTGTTGCTCTTTGTGGATTTTAGGATCAGCTGTCGATGCCATAAAAAACAAACAACAATCAAAAAATTACCTTGGGATTTTGTTTTAAATTGCAGTGAATTTATAGATCAATTTAGAAAGATTTAACATCATTGGTTTTCAGTCTTACTGGATATACACATGATTTATTTCTCTACTATGTCTTTTTAGTGTCTTTCAATAAAGTTTTATACTTTTCTCTCTAAAGTCTTTTTTTTAACCAACTGTATTGAGATATAATTTGCATACTATGAAATTCACCCTACTCTAAAGTTCTTCTGTCTCAGTTTTATTACTAGATACCTTTTAGTTTTCATTATGAGGTACCTTATAATTACTGTGAATAGCATTGTTTGCTTTCTAAAATTTTGTTACTGGTGCCTAGGAAACTTCCCATTGTTTTCTTGGTTTGGTCTGGCTGAAAAAAAAAATTTTTTTTAAAGAAATCTGAAAAAAAGGGGGGACTTTTTTGTCCCTGCATGAGCTAGGATAGGAGAGAAACCCTAATTGTAACATGATGGCAATGAAAAGGAGAACTGGAAATCTCATTCCAGGGGTTTGAAGAAAAAGGGCATGCAAGGACACCCCCGGTCTAAAGCGTGTTCCTAAGTGTTCACACAAGCAGAGGAGAGGTCTGTCTCTAATTCCTCCCTTCCCTTCCAGTTTATAATGGGCACACTCCTTATGTACTCATTCATACATGTACTCATTTAATCACATCATTTTTAATTAAAATACCAAGTTCTCACTCTACACAGGCACTGCTAGGCATTTGGGGTTAAAATTTGATTGCAAAAGAGTGCTGTGAGAATGACACAAAGGTCATCTTTTTAGTGTCCCAACTAGATGGTCAAAAAATGTATCGCTTGACAAAACCTTTTCACATACATTTTTATATTTAACCATAGCAGTCCTTATTCATTTTACAGATTATTATCTGTTTAAGATTAAGTAAGTAAGTAATTTAGTGCTTTTAACAAAGATTTAACTATAAAAATGAGGATTATGTTTTCATTGCTTATAAATTACTTCTGATTTTTATTCCATAAAAAGACCTTTGTATAAAGAGATCTCTGTCTCCATCTTTTACCCAAAAATACTGAGATAATGACAAAAAACCAAATGTGTATTTCCTACACCTGATCCAAGGTAGCTGCTTCTCCCTGTGCATTGTTACCTGTTAATGATAAGAGAAAGCTTCTAATAGTCAAATTCTGGGAACTATCTGTGGGACAGAAACTGAAGACAAAGGAAACCTGCAGTTTTGACCTCAGCAGTGAGTTAGATTTCTACTCTTAGTTACTTTTTATTTCAATGTTGAAGATAATTCTCTTAGATTCTGGTCATTCGGTCTTGACTTTATATGCTTTCAGCCACAGGGGATGTATTAGGAGATTATGACATCTATGCAGGTTAATAATCTGGAGGGTTTTTTTCTATTTGTAAAAGTTTAGAATTTGGAATATAATGCTTATAAATGCCAGAAAACATTTTTTCTTCACTAGAAAGTTTTAGAGCAGACATGTTACTAAAACTAAGCAGATGTAGCTATTAAAACTGAAATTGGCATTTCTCTCTTGTATGCATTAAAAGTCATTTAATTTTTTTCATTTTATTTTAGTCACTGTACTTATGCCTTATTTCCGGGGTCCACGGGAAGCATGAGTCTGTTGGGACTTGGGACAAGAAGAAAACAAGATACCTTCATAAGGAAAACCAGACACTAACAAAAAGTATCCCAAAGTCGGAAGAGACAGAACCCAACCAAACATGACCGACAAAGAACGTAGGGATCCTCCAGAGGGTAAGACTAGTTTGTACAGCACTGTGGTTTGTGCTGTAGGAAACTAGAGCTGTGCTAAGAGAGATGGTCTCTGATGACTGAAATTTAATGTTTTGAAGTAAAACAAGCTAATTAATTGGTTGATTATGATTATTCTTTCGTATTTACTGAAGTTTGCCATAATAACAGGCCCTAATTTATGCGGAAGATTAATATTTTGGAGACTTCAATAGTAGGAACTTACAGTGTTGGAAATGGTGCATAATCCTTAGTTATATTTAAAAAATTAAACTGATTATATTTAGAGGGGAGCTTTCAATTACAGCAAAAAAGGAATTTAGATTCTTCATCCTGTTTATATGTTTCTGCATAGCAAATATAAAATAGGGAAAATATGAAATAGATTTTTCAGAAGAGAAGAAGCATACTTAGTTTAAGATTTTATTAATGATATTTTAAAATACATGAAAGTAAAATAGTGTCATGAACCTGTTTGTACTCAGTATCCAGCTTCAGCTATTACCTACATAATGCTGATCTTGTTACCTGCCTTAGATTACTTAAATGCAAATCTGAGACATACCATTTTATTTCTAAATAGTTTACATCTTTTAAAGATAGATTTTTAAAAAACAGCCAAAACATCATTATCATACATAAAAATAAATTAAGGGTTAGTCCTTAATATCACATACCTAGTCAGTATTCACGTCTCCCCAGTTATCTCATAATTGTTTTCTCTTATAGTTGGCCAAACACTCTTTTTGTTTTCTTTATAGTTGGCCACACACTGCATTCAGTCGATATCTCTTATAGGTTGCTCTTTTTTTTAAGTTTTGTTACAGAAAATTTCAAACATAAAAGTAAAGAGATTATATGAATTCCATTTACCCAACAAACAGCTTGATCTGCTGACTATATAAGGCTAATGCTGTTTCATCTATACTCCATTTCTCCTTTCCCCCATATCGTTTAGGCTTGAAGCAAATTCCAGACATAATTTTAGCCATAAATACTTGATTACTTATCTCTAAAGGACAGGGATTCGGGCCTCCCCGGTGGCGCAGCGGTTGAGCGCTGGGTTGCGAAGCTGCCCGCAGCCTCCGCGGAGCCGGTTCGATCCCCGGCTGCTCCCAGGCCACCGGAGGAGGGTTCCACATGGCGCGCAGACCTCTCCTGCCGCCCGCTGCTCCCCTCAGCAGTGTACTTCGGTCCTTCTGCCTGCTCTGCTCCCTGCTCTGGATCTGGTGAATTCTCTCACCCTCCCGCGCTTCTGACTGTACCCAGTGCATGTATAAACAAACAAAATAAATAAATAAATTAAATAAATAAAGCATGCCTCTATAAAAAAAAAAAAAAAAATAAAGGACAGGGATTCATTTTTTAAAAAACATCACAATACCTTTATCATACCTAAAAGATGAAAAAAATGCCGTAGATGCTTTAGTCTCATCAACCTGGCATTCAAGTTTTCATATTTCTTTAATGATTGGTTTACTCAAAACTGGATATAAACAATGTGACCCACATTCTGCATTTAGTTGATGTGTCTCTAATAAGTCACCTTTTTTTTTTTTCTTGCCATTTATTTTTGCTTCTTGCCCTTATACAAGAAACATAGTCTTGGGATGTCCCACATTCTGGATTTTGCTGATTTCATTCTTGAAACATAATTTTTAATGCATACTTTTATCCCTGTACTTCCTGGAAATTGGTAGTTAACTCTAGAAGCTTGATCAGCTTCAGTTTCAGTTGTTTGGCAAGAATACTTCATAGGTGGTGTAGGGTACTACTATTGTATTGAATTGGAAGGTTAATGGTGTCTGGTTTTCCTCTTTTTTGATGTTAACCTGATCAGTGGGTACAGCATTTGTCATTCATTGATCTTCGGGTTCACCCGTTATAAAATTACTCATCAACCATTTGCATAATGGTTTCAGTTGCCATTCATGATCATTGTCTAAATCCATCATTTCATTAGGGGAGAGTATGTATTAATATAACCAAAAGTTGGTTCTATCATTCAAAATAGTTTTACTTTAGTGTTATTTGATGGATTTGTTAACATGATAATAAATTCACTTTAGTCACCTTTAGGTGGGAGTCAAGAGAAATAAATTTAGGAGGAGTACCTTGTAAACCAGTTCATTCTATATAATTATTAATCAGGGACCTTGTTAAAATACAAAAAAAAGGGGACATTTATTGAAGTAAAAAGTATAAATTTTTATCTCACTAGATTGTCAAAATGATTTGGAAAATGAGTCATCAGTAAATTCACAGGCACAGGAGATCACAGTCACAGAAAGTACCACTGAAGAAGTTCAGGACTCAAGCCCTGCCTCTGGTCTTCCTGATGACCACCCAGATGTAGAAAATATAGGTCCAGGAAATGCAGAGACAGAAAGTCCAGCTGAAACAAATAATGGGCAATATGCAGAGGATAAGCCAGACCATGAAAAAAGCCAGAGTTTTCAGGATGAAGAGCAAGGGCATCACCTCGCTTCAGAAAGTCTGGCTAAAGAACACTTGGATCCTGAACCCTGCCATTCTCCAAATGACAAAGGAGAGAGATCAGATGAACACTTGGGGAGCAGCTCTGCAGCCCTCCCTAAAGAAGTGAGTGACAGACCCAGAGTTCCCGAGGAGTCACCTGCCCACGAGGCCCAGAATTCTGATCATCCCAGTGCAGGATTGGAGAGCCAGGCCATGCTAAGGAAGCGACAGCTGGCACCAGGTGAGAGAACCCACCAGATTCCTGCGCCATCTTGAATTGCTCTGTTACTGAGAACACAACTTGGGTCGAGGTCCTTCTTTTCAGAGAATTCTCTTCCCTTCCTAGGATTATGGCCTTTGGGCCATACCCATGGGTGAGAGAGATATGACTAAGCTAAGATTAGAATTCTGGGTATCTTATCTCCTAGACTACAAGTTGCTTCCCACACATCAGCTGCATTTTCAAAAAGTGTTTCTATTTATGTACTGTTTGTATTCATGCAGTATGATTAAAGGAAGGGGCATGTCTTTTAAACAGTTGACCTCCACAGTTGTTTATTTCTTATGAACATAATCTGATTTATAATTTAAAATTTTTTTATTCTTTTGGAAGCTATATGCAGAATAACTTAAGTGATGGGTAGATTTAAAAATCAACATATTACAGTGCTTTTAACAATGTTAGAGGATCCTTAATTTAATCATATTTCAGTTCTATAGAATTTTGAGCAAAATAGTTAATTTAGATCTGATTTCACCCACTAGCATATTAAGGAGAACAATTGTGCTCTCTTTCTTTATGAAGGAAATCATTGCCTTTGCTAAGGTCTTTACTAGAATTCAATAGACATTTTTCAGTTGTGGTTCTATCAGTTGCTAACTTGGGTGACCTTGGGCTAAGTCTCTTAACCTACTAGTACTTCCATTTCCTATTTGTAGAATAAAGAAGTACAAAAGATGATCTCCTGATGGCCTCTTTTAGCCTTCACCTTCTGTTGTGCATAAGGATTTGTATTTTCTAAGTGCTCTGAAGAACTCAGTCTGAAATGCCCGTTTGCCAGTGCAAAGGAGTATAAATGAAGACATTCTGTTTAACAAGGATGACTAAGAAATAGAAATTTGTGTTTCACTCTAAATCAGTGACTGATCTCAGATACAGGTTTCACGCATTAATTGTTAGAATTGTCTGTACTTTAGTGACGGCCCGGACACACACTCTGCTTCATTCATTGTGTTTCTGTGGCACCTGGCACAGAGAAGCAGCTTCAAATGTAAGAATGTGATTTGTAGGGACCATTACCTGCCATCAGAATTTCGTCATTATGCTGATTCAGTGAGTAGAGGAAGAAAGTAATTGTTTTAAAAATGTAGTTTTTGTATATGAAGCAATGTAATATAATGTAATGAGCTAATGTAGGAGATGAGAAGCCTCCTTCTAATCTCAACTTGGCCACATTTCTTTATGCGACCATGGGTAAAAGCGCTAACATCCGTGGACATTTCCTCATTATACTGAAGGGTAGTGGGCTGGAGTAGGTGATCTCTAAAGATCGTATCAGTCCTTAAATTCTATGATGTATTCTAAAAATATGTTTGGGGATGTGAAATGACCTATAAAGGTGAAGTTGATTTTACTTCTCTATGTTAACAGAATGTGCTATTTGAGTTGTTTTGCCAGTGTTACGGGCTGTGCTCTGCTTTCACTATTAGGAGGTACCTGGGCTGAAGTATTCATCTACACTCTAGAGTGATTTAGCTTGGTGTGCTAGAAAGCACTGTCCTCCTTTTCACTAACACATTTTAAGATCGGTGTTTCACCCCTTACCTCCATTTTTAAATAGTTCATGAATTTCTTAATCTTGTAGTCCTTGCTGTATATATATATCCTTCAGTAAGTTTCCAGTTTGCTTTGTAGCTGCACAGTAACCTCTGCTGTCTCTGAACTCAGTGTCTCTGTTATCTGTATACTGGGGGGTCTTGAGGAGCCATGTGAGACAGGTGCATGCTGTAGTAAGCATCACTGCCCTGTGATGTTGAGTCATGTGCACAGCTGACATTTCTTAAATCCCTTCTTAATTTTTTAAAATAATTGAATCGCATTTTAGATAGCTTGGTTGCAATATCAAAATGCTTATTTATTTGTCCTGATAGAAGAATCTGTGAGGAATTGTAAATGTAGCAACAGTATCCTTTTATGAATTTCACAGCACTTTATTTTATTTTATTTTAAAAGAGTGTTTTGTGTTTTTTTTTCTTTAAGATTTATTTATTTATTTATTTATTTATTTATTTATTTATACAAGTACTGAGGTATAGGTCAAAGGTGTGTGGGGAGGGGGGTGAGAGGATTCAACAGCACTTCATTTTATTCTTCTAAGTAAAATAAAAGTAACAGTGTATCTTAAGGAAAAGATAGGGAAAAAAATTAGTTTTTTTTGTATAAAAGAAAATTTTAAAAAGCACAGAAATGCTCGTTTTTTTTAAATTTGGTAAAAGGTATAAAGGTATATATACTCTCATTAGTGCAGTCTAAAAATGATGTTTTTTTCCTTCCTAGAAGCTGTAAGTCATCAACAAGAAACACCAAAATTAAAAGAAAACAAAGAGAATGGACAGGATACCATAAGAAAGAATGAAAAGGAATTGTGGCACTATGGTGAGAACAAAACTGGTCTTACTACAGCATTGATTCACTTTCAGATTTCCTCAAAAAAAAATGCTTATAGGAAACTAGCAGATTTTTTTTCCTGCTTGGGATTGATTAATTTCCTTCCTTTTTTATTTCTTTAATTTTATATTGAAGTAATATTGGTTTAAAACATTATATAAGTTTCAGTATACGGCATTATAATCTAACATCATATATACTGCATTTTGATCACTACCAAAAGTTTAGTTTTCACCCACTACCATGTAATCGATTCCTTTTACCCAGTTACTCCCCTCCTTCTCCCCTCCCCTTGCTAATCACTATTTATTCTTATGAGTTAAGAGCTTGCCTTTGTTTTTTTCTTTATCTTCCACATGAGTGAAATCATGGTATTTGTCTTGCTCCTTTTGACTTATTTCTCTTAGTATAATAGTGTCTAGGTTTCATTCATCTTGTCACAAATGGCAAAAATTTCATTTTTTTTTTTTAGAGCTGAGTGGTATTCCATTGTGTATACAAACCACATCTTTTTATCCATCTGTGGATGGTTATTTAAGTTGTTTCCACATTTTGGCTATTGTAAATAATGCTGCAGTTAACACAGGGAGTTACAGATATCTCTTCAAATTAGTGTTTTTGTATTTTTTTATAGTTTTATGTGAATTTTATTTCCATAAAGCTGGGGGGGAAACACAAATCATACAAAATATCACTGGTACAGTGGGGTTTACAGTATGGTACCTATTACATTCTGCTTTAAAGAAGTTTTTCCTTTAAGATGACCACCTTGTCCAAATAAAGAAGAGCTATCTAAAATGAAAATTCCCACAGGAGGAAAGGCTTTTTATAAGCCAGGAACTAAACTACCTTTTTGACTAGAGCATTAAACTTCTTAGGTGGCATTTTTATATTTTGACTATTAGGGAAAAATGACCTGTTACAGGCAGCAATTACTTTCAGAAGGAGAAAATATCCTGATAGTTTATTCCTAAATCACATCAAACATTATAGCAATTAATATATAAACTTGGCTTTTACCTTTTAACAAAGATATTATATATTCATATAGTTAAATCTAAGCAATTAAAGAAAAGGTGTAGGATTTAATAGAAAACATAAAAGAATTTAGGCAAAAGAAACCACGAGCGTAAAAATCTATCATTTTGTTGTTATTGTTAAGAAAAAAACATACAGAAGTTTAGTAACAGGTGTACCTCCTGTATACATGATAGAACCCCAGCATGACTGAGTAACTTGCCCATTTGGCTTTAGATGTCATCTTAAATAGCTTAGCTAAACCTGGAGGGTTGGTGGAAGTAAGAAGTCATTGAGTTAGAGAGTTTTTGGGGAATACAAAGGAATGAAGATTTAAGTTCTGCCTTCACCCTCTTAAAGAGAGAAAGATTAGGTCTTCCCGATAGAAATCCTTACAAAGAGAAATTTACAGTTAAAGGCAACTTCCACCCAGCCTTCAGAGCCCCTCCCATGAAATGAACCTCTTGCTAAAGACATATTTTACGGTGGAAGATGTTTCCTCACCTATAGTCCTGCCTTTGGAGCTTCTCAACAAGTTCCACAATTCTGAAGTTGAATTTGGTTATTTTATAGAACCATCCTCTTAGTGGTGAGAGTAGATCAGACAAATTAAACAGTTGTATCCAGTTTTTGGCGACCTTGTGTGTAGGTCCAAAGTTAAGCCTCTATTGTGTAAGCAATAAGAGGCATTTTTATGGGAATAAAAGAAAATTAAAGATAGAAGCAAACCACAAGTCCAGTTGGGAGTCCTGAAAGAAGCCAGAGAGATTTCTAGATTTGGGGGAAGAGGGTGGGCTATCAAAGCATCTTCAGATAGGATGAGAGCAGGCAGTGGTTTCCCCATTTACAATTCAATGAAAATCTGACACTATCTTTACCTCATTTCATTTTATCTCCGATTTTATTTGTGACTTATGTAAAATGATTTTGTCTTTCTCTGACAGCCTTCACCTTTGTCATTCTGGTGGTGTCCTGTTTTTCGCTAAATTATGTTCATAGCTACTATTTCTCTTCGGCTCAACAAGTACCCAAAAACCCAGCTTTGGAGGCTTTCTTGGTTCAGTTCAGCCAATTGAAGGATAAATATCCAGGCCAGAGTTCCTTCTTGTGGCAAAGAGGACGTAAGTTTCTCCAAAAACACCTCAATGCCTCAAACCCTGCGGAGCCAGCCACCATCATATTTACAGCAGCTCGAGAAGGAAGAGAGACCCTTAAGTGCTTGAGCTACCACGTCGCGGATGCTTACACCTCTTTCCATAAAGTCTCTGCCATTCGGATCGATGGAGCTGAAAGGGCCTCACAGGACAGTGACGTGGTCAAGCTTGTAGTTGACACGGTGCTAAGCTCTGGATTTGAGAATGGCTGCAAGGCTGCCGTGGTACACCACTTCGAATCCCTTCCTGCAGGCTCCACCTTGATCTTCTACAAATACTGTGACCATGAGAATGCAGCCTTTAAAGATGTGGCCCTGGTCCTGACTGTTCTTCTAGAGGAGGAAACATTAGAAGCAAGCGTTGGCCCAAGGGAAACTGAAGAAAAAGTGAGAGATTTACTCTGGGGCAGGTTTACCAACTCCAACACTGCCAGCTCCTTCAACCACATGGATTCAGACAAATTGAGTGGGCTGTGGAGCCGCATTTCACACCTGGTGCTGCCTGTCCAGCCAGTGGAGGACATAGAAGAGAAGGGGTGCCGCCTTCCCGACAGCTAAGCACAGAGTCACTGCCAGAGGGCATGGTTTACTAAAAAGTTAGTTTAAAGCCTTTCACATATGTCCTAGGAGGTTGATGGATGGGAGGAAAACCGCCTTTGTAAAACACAAATGAGATTATTTTAGAAACAGATTTTTCATTTTTTACTGTTTTGCAGTTTTTCTAATCTAAGCTTGACAAAGCTAAAAGTTGACCTGACTTTCTTTCCTTGCCTTTCAAGCAAACCAGGTTTTGAGATATAATGTGGTCTATAACTGAGGAATTTTTTTTTTTTAATCCAAAGTATAGAAACAGAAGTATTACACAGGAAGATGATGATAGTTTCAGAATAACTATAGAATGATTTCTGTTTTTTTGAGACTCTAGAGCCTTTTTGTGGAGTTTGGATACCAACTAAAGCAATTACAATTATGAAACTGATCATTTTTTAGAAAATGTTTCTGTCATGTGTAAACTTTTAAACTTGTTTTAATAACCTAGTTGAGGGATTACATCCTATAGTGATTTGCACTTTTGAATAGTACAAAAAAGTAAGAATTCAAATACTTACCTAAAATGCTAGATGTTAAGGCACTGTGCTTTTATTCCGTTAACCAACTGAGATAAAAGCTGCTGTATTCAAAAGATGTTCTCTAAAGTTGGAAACCTTGGGGAAATTGTTTATAATTATTGAAAATGAAGAATTCCAATTGAATGTATTTTACTTCAGTTTCTTGAATGACCTAGAGTAGTGATTTTTAAGCAGGAATCTTCCCTTTGTCTCAGAGCACTCTGCTTTTGACTGTTTAATGTAAATATTGGGATTCTCTGAAAGATTTAATTAGAACAAAGAGTCCATTGATAAGCTTGAAAACCACCAATTAAGTGAAAAAACCAAGTTAGAGATATTTATAATGATTTATTATGTTATTTTAAGAAATGGGTAGGGGAAAATGAATATGAAAACTCAAGAGTGGAGAATAAGAGGTTGGTTTATTGTATAGACAAGCTATTTAGACAAAAACCTACAAAAGAATAGCAGAATGTATCAACTAGTATTTACTAGCATATTTCTGATGCTTAACATTTTCTATTAATCATTATTTTTGTCTCCCTGATTAGAATTTCATAATTGTCAAGGATGAGCATTTGAATGACCTTTAGGTAGAATAGATTTTAAAAACCAGTTGAATAGCAGATTTTCTGAATTGGCATAACTTTACCAAACTGTTTACTTGTCATGCAGTGATGTAACATTATATACTACAACTTCTTGATCAGCTACTTCTAAGTACTGTTGAGTTAGAGAAATGCAAGAGATGTTATACTTAGTAAGCAGAAGCAGAAATAGGGTATATCTTTCCAGGTTACAATGGGTGCTATTGCTGGACCATGTTCTGTAATTGTAGGAAATACTGAGGGCAGTATTTGTGCAAATAGTAGTTGTTGATTTGTGTTTCAACTCTGAAAGCAAAATGCTGGTGAAATGATCTTGATCTTGATCTATGAAGAGTCAGTTCATTATATGACACACTTAGGAACTATCACCATGATTCTGGAATATTTCAACTAGGTTCTGACCTCTCTGCTTCTGTGAAAGCAGAGAGGAGCACACCCCATGTGTGTGGGGTGGGAGAAAGAGAGGGAGGGAGACAAAGGGGGAGTGTGTGTATAGATAGATAAACATCCATTTATGATGCAGATATTTATATCTGTGCACTAAGACTATGTAGGGATCTTTATTGATACATAAGAAGAGATCCCAAAGACAAGGGGGAGGAATCTATTTGTAAATTTTTGTCACAGGAAAACCACATATATCTATTCTAACCAAGGCCTTAAGTAACACGCATTTCTGTGTAGGGGCAGACCTAAAGGAACTATTTTCATTTGGAGTTTTGTATAGGAATCTTCCACTATATTGGTGGAAAAGGCCCTGCCTGAATAAAATATTACAGCATGGTGAATATATCAAGCATTGGCTTGATAAAATCAGAGGAAACTGAAGAAAAATCTGTATACTATATTGGAATTTTGCTGTATTTTTAGATCTCAGATGCTAGCATTATATCACACAAAACCAATGGTGCCTTGTAGAGCTTATGCTGGCCTGCTGACTGTGCTACCTCACACCTGTAATGACCCACTGTGATGGCGTGCATGGTGAATCTGTCAGCAACTCAGACCATAGCTGAAACAAAGATTCTTCTTTGTCCATTCAGTTGTGTATGATTTTTCATCATTTCCTTTTAATATAGGTTAGAAAATCACCAAAAAGTCAATTTCTAAAAATGTTTAGTGTTTGTTTAAAAACACCTTCTTCCATGTATTAGTGCAATCAACTAAAACTATTGTCAGTTTTCTGTCCACTCTTTCAAAAATCATTTTAAAAAGCAGTGTACTAGCTCTGGATCTCCTTATGAATAAAATGATTATTTTTAAAGCATAAAACTATATTTTTTAATATGTACAAATAATATCAATTATCTAATGTACTCTTAGTTTAATTTCTATTTGTTTCTATTTTTTTATATTTTTCAAGTTTCTAAATTTTGTAGTTTATCTTTCATCATTCTAATAGTTTATTTGCTGAGGTGGTTTTGATCTTTTCACAGTTTGTAATAGTTTGATTTCTACTGTTAAAGGCAGAAAGCATAGTAAGAATTAATGTTCAAATATAACATGACATGACATGTTAAAAGTGATAATAATTGGGGCCTCCTTGGTGACATAGGGGTTTAAGTCTCAACTCTATCAAGCTATGGACAGCCGCTGCTGCACAAGTTCATTCCCTGGCCGGGGAGGTAGCCCATATGGCACAGCAGACCTTACCTGTCTTACCCGCTGCTCCCCTCAGCAATGTATATCAGTAAATCTGCCTGTTCTGCTCCCCACTCTGTCTCTGGTGAGTCCTTTCACCCCCCCCCCCACCTCTGGCTTACATCCCAGTTCTTGTAGGTATAAATAAACAAAAAATAAATCTTTAAAAAAAAATAAGCGATAATAATTTAGCAAGGTGTCCTCCAGGACTGTATTTGCATATCTGACCAAATCTTTATGCAGCATATATAGATGTATGTTTCTTCAAAAACTAAATGTTAAGTGGAAAACATAATTATTACATCCAGTTAGGGTTACCATTTAATGGGATATAAAAGGTTATTTCCAGCTTTTTTGTGGAGAAGTACATTCAGATAGCAACAGGAAACCTTTTTCTTTTATCATTTGATAAAATCATAAAAATAAATCATTACATCTTTGTAAGACCCTTAAGATACTTGAAGCAGTTTTTCATCTTTTGCAAGTTGAATATGTCATTATATATCAATCTTCATTTTAATACTTTGTTCAATCTGAGCATAATATATTTCATTCTAAGATTTGTTGAAAAATCATGCCGGGCTTGTTTTTTTCGGAATTAAAGTACCTTGAACTCATCACTCAATGGTAGTATTGTCTTTGTAATGTGAATATTATTAATGATTATAGATCACTTTATCATAATCCATAGAGTTAAGATAAAATTACTTTAAAATTGTTCCAACAGTGTATATGAGACAATAAAATACTACAAATACTTGCTGTGAATAATATATTTGCAAAGAAGATTTGCCAATTCCAGAGAGAACTAAATAAAATTAACATATCCAGTTTCTTCACATGGCTTTAAACTATGCCTTACTCCTCTTTATGTCAGCTTCTAGGTATTAGGTTGTGAAGTGCTAACCTCATCCAAGTAGCCTGAGAACACAACCAGTATTTCCAAATCTAAATACTCTATAAAGATATACATAATTTAGTCTTCAGTGCCTTTCCATTTCATATCCATTTCAGCTTTTTTTTTTTAAAGATTTATTTATTATTTATACAATAGCTGGGGTGTAGGCCAGAGGTGCGGGAGGGTGAGAGGATTCACCAGAGACAGAGTGGGGAGCAGAACAGGCAGACTGACCGAAGACACTGCTGAGGGTAGCAGCGGGCGAAACAGGAGAGATGTGCCGCGCCATGTGGGATTCTCCCTGGCCAGCCTGAAATCGAACCCGCGCTGCAGAGGCTGCGGACAACGTCACAGAGCTGTGCTCAACCCTCTGTGCCACAGGGGATGCCCGTTTCAGCTTGTTTTGATGTCTTTAAAAAGCCCACTGGAACATAGCGGAGGATTGTTGGGGCATAGGTGGTAGGCAGGGTGTGTAAGTATACATCTATAGAGGTTTGAACCTACAACCCCTGGTTATAGATACAGATTCAAAGAGGTTAAACCTACTTTACCTGAATTAACAATTTGGGGGGGGAAATCCATAGATTGGCTTCTTTTTTGGGACCTGATCTCCCATTTTTCTTTACTGAGGCTCCTAAACTAAATTTTCCCTTCACGAAGAGCTTTGGACTTGGGCAGCAGCAGCTGAGCAGTTAGGTAGAGTTGGCAAAAAGAAGTTAGGTCACCCCTTGAAGCCTTCGTTCTCCTGGTGCCCAAACTGGGCTTCAATGTAATCTACGTAAAGCTGCTAGCACCTGCTCCCAATTAACCAGATTACAAGAGATTTAAATCTGTCATTCCTGTCGAAAGAGAAGCAGCACATTGACTTTGAGACACAACCTCTTTTTGCTTTTTTCACTTAAAAAATAAATGGACTTTGCTGGTGTTAATGTCAAATTTCTTGGCACTCCCCTTCTCCCTTATGTAACAACGATTACTTTTGCATTTGTTATGGATGTTGAAGAATGCTTCATTTAAATTAGTTGTCTGGTTATTAATCAAAATAAATTTTAATTTTTCTCCGTTGACTGATTCTTGATTAAAGTTCCCAAAATAGGGCCTCCCTGGTGGCGCAGGCGGTTGAGCGCAGCACTGTGAAGCTGTCCGCAGCCTCTGTAGTGCCTGTTCCATCCTGCCGGCCTCAGAGCAACCCACATGGCACGGCAGACCTCTCCTGTCTCGCCCGCTGCTACCCTCAGCAGTGTGTTTCGTCAGTCTGCCTGTTCTGTTCCCCGCTCCCTCTGGTGAATCCTCTTACCCTCCCGTGCATCTGGCCTGTACCCCGGTTCTTGTATAAATAAAAAAAATCTTTAAAAAAAAATAAAGTTCCCAAAGTAGCAAGTTTATACGAGTGGGCATGCAGTCATTAATGGTGGGGGGAAATACTACTTATTTGGTAATAAGTTCAAGAGCCAAAGGACCCTGGGGAGGTCCCCTGCTTGCCCGTGGCACCCGCCATCGGTAGAATGATACAGTGCAGATGCTGCTTAGAATGGACCACAGTCCTCATTTATTTAATCTTTTGTCTGCTGTTTCTGCTTAATGAGACTTTCTTGAGTAGGAGAGAAATGGGTTGTAAGTAGAACCAGGGAATTGCTCCTGACATGGGATGTGTCGATCGGGAATGTGTTTCTTAAGTGTAGGAGTCAGAGAGGCTGGGGTATGTTAAGATATTCTGCCTTTCGGGGAAACTAGAATTGGAGAACAGAAGTGTCTGAATACAAATCCCAGCCCCACATCCATCCTTCTCCCAGCTTTTTGCTGTCACTGTTCCCAACTGAAAACCATGGATCTGTTGACATTTTATAGAATAGTTTTTTCCCTAAATCTGAATTCAATTTTGAAAATCTGTCAGGTTTGTTCTTGCAGTTTAGAGAAATAGGAACTCTCAGGAGACAGGAAATCTTAATTAATGAGCTTTCAGTTTAATAAGCTAATGTCAAAGGGTAAACCAAGCAGAAGAACATAGAATTTCCCAATATTCGTCCAAAAATCCACAGTAGGGTGGCTGCAACTAAGACTTTTTTAAATACTAAGACTCACCACTAGAGAATGTTACATGCTTCTCTAAATACACTGGAACAGGCAGGCCTCTGTACTGCAAAGTGATTAATCAGGAAGAGAGGTGCTGTGATTTGGTTACTGTAGGAATTATAATTTTAGATAGTATACAGTAAAAATGGTATCAAGTCTGAAGATGCACTCTGTGTCATGGGGTGTTTGATACAGAAAATTACATATTCTTTGCTTGACCAAAATTTAGTTGGGCTCCTAAATCTCTTCCTGGGCTCATCTATGCACTTTTTGGGTAAAATCCAGTTTTAGGAAGAACCCTGCTAAGTCAGTTTAACCAGAACCTTCCACCCTCAATATCTGATCTGGTTTCTTATCCTTCAGCAGCCCCCCATGGTCTGATCACCTGGTCTGTCTGCAGCAAGAATCCTAGTAAGTGGGGTTAGTCAGAACTCCCCCAACCCAATGTCTCCTCTTAGTAATTTTCCATCCCCTCACCCTGATTCTTGGTTGTAAATTCCCACTTGCCTGTGCTGTATTTAGAATTGGGTGCAATCTAATTCCCCCACCCCACACACTGTAAAATCCCATTTTGATTAGTTTATTATTATTATTATTTTTTAAGATTTATTTATTCATACAAGAGAAGGAATGTAAGCCAGAGGTGCAGGGGGAGAGACGATTCACTGAGACAGAGTGGGGAGCAGAACAGGCAGATCCACGGAAATACACTGCTGAGGGGAGCAGCGGGCAAGACAGGAGGGGTCTGCTGCGCCATTAGTACCCTGGCCAGGGATTGAACTCATGCTGCAGTGGCTGCTGACAGCTCGTTAGTGCTGAGACTTAATCCCTTGTGCCATCAGGGAGGCCCTTGACTAATTTTTAATGTGTCCTTTCAGTGTTTCTTACAGGCCCATCTGATATATTGCCACTTTTATTCCTTATTTAAAATTCTCAATTCTTAGTTTTTCTCTGTTGGTTTCTTTTTCATTTGCTGTCACCACTCCTCCTTAGCTCGGGTAACTGGGGGTTTGGGTAGGGTGGGAGGGAGGTAGAGTAAAGAGAGGGCAAGGGGGCTGGTGAGACCCTCAGTATGTGGGAGGGGAGTTCGGGTTTTGAAATCTGATGATGATTCTGGATCCATTCCTGCACCCTACACGTCTGGAGGGAAGGAACCAGAGGACTTTGTGTGGAGTCCCAGGTCTCTGCTTTAATTTCAAGATGCTGAATCACACCCAGAACGCAAATTTCCTCAGGGGAGTGGGCCTGCTCGGAATTGGGATGTAATTAATTCCCAATGGGTAGAAAACTCTGGTCTGCAGCAAAACCCAGAAGTTTCTGTCAAGACATGGCTCAGACCACAGGACAGCACTGGAGCCCTTGTGTTCTGCTCCTTCAGGGGCTCAGGGCCTGTAACCAGGGCTGGGAGCCATGGCATCGTATGTTGATACCTGAAGGGGAAGTGCAGATGCCCAGTGCAGCCAGCTGCCAGCTTCTGGATAGTCCCCCTGTGAAGCCAGAACTGCCATCCCACTGGGTAGAGCTGGCATGGGGGCCATTGAGCTTGGGGAAGATGGCTGCCTCACCTTTCCTCCAACCATGGCTGTGGCTGGGGCTCCTTCCTGGTGGTGGAGGGGTGTGTGTGTGTGTGTGTGTGTGTGTGTGTGTGTGTGTGTGGTGTGTGTGTGTGTGTGTGTGTGTGTGTGTGTGTGTGTAGGGGGTGGTGGTGGCAGGATAGAGAAGATGTGGGAGTGGGGCATGGTTCCTAGGAGCCCTGGGCAAAGCCTTTTGCAACCAGCCACCCTGGGGAAGTAGGCTCTCCTGGGATTGCCAGGGGCTGTTTTCTGGAGAGAGGGGTGACTTCAGCCTTTATTGGGGCAGGAGTCCAGGCTGGATGTTCATCTCCTAAATTTCAGCTCAGGAACAGGTACAGGGCCGCTAACCACATGGGTTAATATGCAGAAAATATTATCCTTAAGGATATTCACGATGGATGTATTTTGAGTATGTTCTCGAACAGTAATTTCACAGACGTGGTGAATGTTGAGTTTTTCATGACATGCACACAGTTGCTTTCAATGATCTTGCCTTTCAGAGATTAGGAAGGAGGTAACGTCCTGCATGGGGAAGAGTTACAGACCTCTCCCTGGCATTTGAGTTGTGGTCTCCCCAACTATGCTGTTGTCCTGGGTAACCATGGAAGCTGATGGTCTTGAGAAAGCCTTGCTCTTTGAATGTTTTTTAAAGATTTATTTATTTATGCATTCAAGAACTGGCCCGTACAACAGGCCAGAGGTGCGGGGGATGAGAGGATTCACCAGAGACAGAGTGGGGAGCAAAACAGGCAGACTGACTGAAAATACACTGCTGAGGGGAGCACTGAGCAAGTCAGGAGAGGTCTGCTGCACCATGTGGGTCACCTCCCTCGCCAGGGATCGAACTTGTGCTGCATTGGCCGTGGATAACTTCATAGTGCTGCTTCTTAACCCCTTGTGCCATCAGGGAGGCCCCTCTTTGGGTGTTCGAGGGGAAGATTTCTGAGGACTTTGAGAGGAGGTCAGGCTTCTATTTAACCTTGAGATGTTTAGTTAGATCTAGAACAGACAGTAAGGGAGTACACTTACGGTTTTATCTCCTCCCATCTACAAAGTCCCCTATAAGCCCTTTAAGAGAAGGGGTAAGGGGGGGCAGCCAAGGTACCATCAACTGCTCCAGTGGAGACTGTGCCCCCAGCACCCACTGCAGTGCCCAGGGTAGAGAAAAGCAGATGGTGCGGGAGGTTGGTGGGTGGCGCTTGGCGAGCTGCCTCCAAGGAGGGGACATGGGAATTTTTTATATTTTTTCTCACAACTGGCAGAATTGGACCCCAGAAACTTACTTCCTAGATTTTGGTCTCCTGACCAGTTGAGTTGTTCATCTTTAAGTGGAAAGAAGTCTGTGGCACCCCATTCCTCCAAAAACTTAGACTCATGCTCAGACCTTGCTAACAACACACAGATAGTTGTGTGACAAAGACAGCAGAGGAGGGGGCCCAGCAGAGTCCATCTGAATAAAGACGAGAACTTTGGTTTCATTTCTTAGTTTACATATAATGAAAAGAGGAGGTGTAAGTGGTCCTATGATGGGGAAATGGAGCCCCAGAGGCCCCCAGGGCCCTGCCATTGTTTCTCTTTGTTCTTTGTGGATACAGGCAGGCCCTGAGGGAGGAGGATACAGGCAGAGTGATGCGGGTCCCAGCATCAGCTCTGGAAGAGCAATAGGGACGTGGCAGGGCCTGTCCTGCGCTTGACCCTCTTTTGCCTTAACTCTGAAGGTGCAGATGGAGTCCTGCAGAAGCACATCCCCACCCCTCCTTGCCAGACAGCTGTCACCCGCCTTCTCACCTCCCTCCCACTCCCATCTACCCCCTGAAACTCAGACTCCACTCGGCAGGCCTGGCAGCAGGGAAGCCAGACTGTTTAGCATTCTAAGTGAAGTCCAGCAGAGATAGGGGTGGACAAGTCTGGGGATTCCAGGCTCAAGAGGAAGCACTGGGGGTGCTCTGGGCCCCTTTTGACTTTCAAACCCAGTCTTGAACTTGGAATCCAGTGAAATAAGCACAGAGCCAAGGTGAATAGGAAGACTCTTCTGCATGAGTTCGGTTTATTGGTCAAATGTGAGCTAAAAATGCAGTCCTAGGGCCTCCCTAGTGGTGCAGTGGTTGAGCCTGCAGCCTCTGCAGCACCGGTTCGATCCCCAGCTGGCCAGCAAGTGTCCCACATGGTGCGACAGACCACTCCTGCCGCGCCCACTGCTCCCCTCAGCAGTGTATTTCGTCAGTCTGCCTGTTCTGCTTCCCGCTCTGGCTCTGGTGAATCCTCTCACCCTCCCGTGCTTCAGACTGTACCCAGTGCTGGTATAAATAAATAAATCTTTAAAAAAAATTTTTTTCAGAAAAAAAAAAATGCAGTCCTAGGTTGATGGGAGCCTTGGCCCCTCCAAGAGTCATGGTCAGTCTTTGGATGGGGGTGAGATTCCAAATGGGGAGAGAGGTTGTCTTGAGCAGAGAGGTGGTCCTGACAATGCGGACATGTTCAGGTGTGGAGCAGGAGGAGCTTAGGAAGGGCTGGGGAGAGAGTAAAGACGAGGTAAGATGGAAGCAAGAGGAGCCTCTCACCCTCTGCTTCCTGATCTCAGATTCGTGCAAACGCTACTAAATGACAGTGGCCTCCATGTCTATCAGGCTCAGTGAATTGTCACAGCAATGGGATAAGCTAGGTGTTACAGTTTTGCAGAGGGGCAAACTGAGACACAGACAGAGCCAGAAAGTTGCCTAAAGTCACACATTAAGTGGTGGTGTCAGGGCTCAAACTGAAGTCTTATATAAAACACCACCTCTGACAACCCGACTAGATGGCTGGGTCTGCTGGGCATTAGGTCACAGGGAGAAAGTCTTCGTGACTCAGGGACTCTTCCTTCCCAATTCCTGCTCTACCCAGAATGACACCAGCTGAGTTTGGAAGACCAGGGTCTGAAGGGTGCGGTGTGCTGGGTATACGTAGGCATGCTGTGGGGTGCCCAGAAGCCTGAGGTGTAAGCAATGACTTTCAAGGTTTGTTGTTGTGAAAGGGGTGGTAGAGTTTGGTGCTGAACATGGACATTCTGGGTGTGGAGAAGGAGCACTCCTCCTGAAACACACCCTGCTGCCCCATGCCCAGGTGAAGAATGGAGGACCCTGTGGGATTTCTATTTCAAATTCCTCGTTTATTATGACATTCACTTGTGACTCCAAGTTATCAAAGATGCAGGATATGAGATCCGTAGCAGGAACAGTGACATGGGGATGGAGACAGAGGTTGGTTAGGACAGGGTGCTCCTGGCCTACCCTTGTCTTCCTGTTTAGAGTGCAGTTTGAAGTGTCCAGATAGTGTCCCCGAGGTCAGACTCCACGGAAAAGTGCAGCACAGTTGAGTGGGGCGAGCTTCCTCTCCTGCGGATTAGGCCAGCACAGCAACAGGCAGGCAGGCAAGCTTGACCCTGCACCCTTAGCAATGTGTGGGGGAACCGTGGCCCACCAACTCCACAATGTCCCACACCCAGAGTTTGCTTTGTGGGGTGACAGGATGTAAGCTGGGGAAGCTAGAGGAAGAGCTGGACTGCACAGATGCTTTGTACTCAGTGATCTTCATAGGTCAGGGGCAAGAGAGGGTGAGAGTTAACAGGGTTGTCTTGGTTTCTCAAACGCAGGAGATTAAGAGGACATGGTTATTTCTTGGTGAAGAGGGGCAGCCACTGTTGTAGTTAGTGGATGTGGAATTCCAGAGCAGCAAGGCCCTGGGGTTGGTCAGGAAGCAAGGACAACTGCCAGCCCAGCTGTTCATGTCAAGGTGCTTGGCCCAGTCAGGGCCGGCAGTGGGAAGGACTCAGTTAATACACCTGTCCTAGTGGATCCCTCTGGCCTGGAAGGGAGATCTTATTACCTCCACCTAGAATTGTCTCCTGGGACAAGAGGAATGTGACCCCTTGAGGTCACTCTGTAGCAGGGTCAGACAAACATGTTTGCTTTTCACTGACAACTAAAATAGCTTGTCTGCTAATCCCTCACCTCTCAACACACACCCCTGCACACAGGATGGGACTGCTGGCGAGTGCAGCCAGCTCCTGTCAGGGTTAGGACACAGAGACACAGACAGTGGCTGCCCAATCTCTCAGGAAGTCCGGGCTTTGGGGAGTTCTCAAGGGTCCTTATGTCCATCCCAGGAGGTCTCATTTCCTTGGTGAAAACGAAGCCTTCAGAGAAGATTAAGTGGAAGTTCCTAGAGCTAAGGAGTGACCCAAAGTGTGACCAAGGTCTGCTGATTCCCAACCCCGCAGTGTCCTAATCATAGAGCACAATACAAGGTGACAGGTGCCCCACAGGATGAAGCAAAAGCTGTAGTGAATTCTCTCTTCCTCCCCCAGTAGCACCCTGCCCTCCCTAAAATGCAAAATCAACATTCTGGGCCAGCTCCTTGCCTGCCCTGCCTGCCTCTGCAGCACTCAGTGACAGGGGAAGGGGAGAGGGTAGGTGTGCTTCTAGACGGAGGCTGCAATCCCTTACAGCAGAGACAACTGGGACTCTCAGCAGATGCATTCACTGAAATAGCATAAGGCCACAACTGAGGTATAAGTGGGACGTGGGAACGGGACTTGGGCTGGTGGAAGCGCACCTAGAGACTGGGGTTGGGGCAATGGAGGGAGGGCAGCGAGTCTGGGTCCAATTGCTAAGTCAAGCCCCTCCCATCCTCAGGCACAAGGGCTGCCATCTCTGAGGAATAAACATCCGGCCCAATGGCATCATGGTTGTTGCCCAAGGGGGGAGCTGGGCCACTAGAGGGGCTTCCGGGGCTTCCAGGGCTGCAACATGGTCCCATGGGAATCCTGCTGGCTCTTCCCGTGCCAGCCAGCTGGCTGCTGTGGGACTGACCACCTTAATCACCTTTACACTTATTCTCTTTGGGATTCGGATTGTTCTTCCTAGCTGGTCTATCAGAGACCCTTTCACTCCACAGCTCCTGGAGGTGGCTAAGCCTGTGCTCCTGACAGCACACACCTGCCTACACAGGATCGCATCCCCCTGGGCATGCTGCTGGACCGGGCCCAGAACCCATGGGCAGGGTCTCATTCCTAAGCTACTGGAACTTGAGGATCAGAACTTGAAAAAATTTCTCCAGCAGGGGCAGCTGGTTCATAGGGCTGAGAATGAGGATTTGGGGAGAGACAAGACTTAAACAGTCACTTTTTGGTGCAGTCCTCACAGATAGCCCTAGGCACAGGCTGAAAGCTCCCCTCGAGGTGTTGCACAGGAGGGGGCCAACACCTTGTGTTCAGGAACCCATATTCATACGGGAGCAGCAGAGACTCCTGGCTCTGCTAACTTCCAGACCAAGCTTGGCTGGGAACTAGCTCTTAGATTCGTTTTAGCCTCCAGTCGGGAAGAGGCTCCCTAACACCCCTGCCCCTTTCTAAATTTGTAGTGGCTTGGTTCCCGCCTCTCTTGCGTCCTTGTTCTCCTCTTTTCTTTCTTCCCCAGGGACTCTGGCTGCCTCCAGAGCCTTTGCTTAGCTTTCCCTGATGCTCCCCCTCTCACAATCTGGCAAAGTTTTTTTTTGGGGGGGGCAGGATGTGGGGGGGTGAGACAGGTGTTGGGTAGGCCAGAGGGGTGTCCCAACTGAGAAACTGGCAATGCTGCCAACTCGACCAGTCAGCACCCCCTCTACCATGGGCCTGGCGCCAGGACCTGCCCTGGTCCTCAGGGCACCAACAGCTGCAATCCCAGTGAACTCTCCATTGTAGGGCAAGAAGTCAGAGAAACTGAGACAGAGAGGGTCCCGTGAAACGGAGACAGAGAGGGTCCTGTGGGCTGCTGGATGGGCAGCCATCGCTGCCCCTGTTGCTCCTGCTGTGGCAGCAGCATTGGTGTGTGGGGGACGTGGGGGCGGGAGAAAGTGGTTACACATCTGTGCTAATAGCCCTTGGATTGGTGTAGGCCTCATGCCCAGAGCCTGGCCACGTCACCGGGTAACTCTGGGGCGCTGCCAATTTGAGGGACGGGGGTCCCCCCTCCTTGTAGTATGTGGGAACGAAGGTGAGCCTCTCACCTCCACCCCCATTGGGCACCATGTCAGCCGTCCGTATGTAAAAGGGGGAGCTGTATGGGGAGCAGGTGGTGCAGTGGCCGGCGGCCACTCCGCAGGGCTCTCTGGTGAGGGGCACCAGGCTGCCTGGGCCATCCAGGGCTTGGGAGATGCAGGCATTGCAGGGAGGGCCTCTGGGGGGTGTGGCCAGGCCGTGGTCCTCTTCCTCTTCATCTGCATCCTCCGCTCCGCTCTTCTTACAGCAGTAATACTGGGGGAGAAGGGGCACTGTGTTGGCCCTGGGGTTAAAACCCAAACCAGAGGCCTGAGTTCCCCACGTGTGTATTCCCACCCTTGCAAGGCCAGCACTTCCTTTTCCTGCCCTACTTCCTTGTGCATTAACTTCAGGCTGAGATTGGGGGAGGTGGAGAGGAGGAGAGGGAGGGACTTAGAAACCACCTTGAGGACAGGGCTGGGCCCCAGAAATCTCAAAAATGCGCAGCAGATACAACCTAGCACACTCTCTTTGGGTGCCTCGAGGTATGCAGAAGGTGAGGGATAAATACCTCTCTTCTGACCCTCCCCCCAATCTTGGCCCCCTTGACTTATACTTCCCACAGTCCATGGTTTTGGGCTTTGTTTTCTCCTTCCACAGTGGGGAAGTGGCTTGCCGTGGGCTTCTGGCCACAGGCCCAGGGACTGACCTGGAGCCTGCAGTAGCACAGGACAGCAATGATGCAGAGCAGGATGACCGTCGCTAGGATTCCGCCCGTGATCACAACCGTTCCCGCTGTCATCCGCCCGATGCCCCATCAAACTCTGCAAAGATGTGTGAGGGGAGGGGAGGCAGCTTTGGATGTCACACTGGGCATGGGCTCCGAGCCTTCCTGGAATTTTCTGCACAGCTAGAGGCAGGGACATCTGACCACAGCTGAAGCAGAGAAGGCCCGGGCCGGGGCCCCAGGGAGCTTCCTGAAGACAGAGGGTGGCCGGGGCTGGGCTGGGCCAGCCTAACCCAGGGGGCTGACAGCTGCAGGCGGGAAGGGAGGAGCCAGTGCTAACTGCAGGACAATTCTGCTCCCTCTTCCAATGCAGTTCTAAAGGTCTTGCTTCTTTCTCCTTTAACTCTCTCCTCCCTTTCCTCTTCTCTCTCCTCACATCCTGCTTAACACCCTGCCCCCTCATAGCTCCCAAATACAAAAAATAATAGCTTCTGCCGATTAAGGGCTTAGTCTGTGCGAGGCACTGCACTAAGCACCCCCTGCTTATCTCAATTCATCCTCAAAATAACCTTGTGGGATAATTATTAATTATCCCTGTTTCACACCATGAACTGAGGCTTAGATTGGTTTGGCTGGGAATCCACTCAGCCTGGTTCACCCCGCAGGCCAAGTTCTTCATGCTGCCCCATTGGGCCTTTGACTCCAGCCGGCGTTGACAGGTTCCAAATCTCAAAAGTTTAATACGGTTCTGCCCTGGCTCATACCCACACTCCTTTGGGGGCATCTCTCCTCTCCAACTCTTGTGGGAAGCAGGGACTTGGGAGTAGCCCAGCAGATGTGGCATGTGGCACTGGCTTCTGGAAGTCTGCGGGTGGGGTGGGGGGGGTGTATGGCTTTGGGAGGGGTGCTTTTGGGGGTTCCCAAATATCCCGTGCCCACGGGGACCAGGCCTGGCTGTGTCAAAAGAGTAGGGGTATGGCAAGGACTTGGCTGCGGGAGGACGGAGGAGTGACCAGGAGCACTTACGTTCAGTAAAGGGAACGGTGACCTGCAAGACAACAAAGGCATGAGATGTTGGAAGAAGAATGTCACCTTCCCCTCACCCCCCAAAAGGCCCGAGGGGTTAATCAGTCCCTGGCCCCACCACCTCATCTTGCTTCCCTCACTGTGCGCTGTCATCAGTAAGCCGACACATCCCAAATCTGGATCTCCAGCTGTGTCTCCAACGGCTATTAAACAGACACTTCACTGGGGCTCCCGAGCCCATCTCACACCCAGTGACAACTGCGAAGTCATCACCCTGTCTTGGGGTTCCTTCACCTTTGACCTCTCTGTCCATTAGCAGTTCTACCTGAGCTGCGACAAAGGGTTTTGCAGACTGTTCATTACTCAAAAGGCAAGTGGGGGCTTGAACGTGAGCTCCACCTTGCTCAGGAAGCTGTGCACCCCGGCATGTTGACCTAGCAAAGGGCCATCTTTTCCTTTACCGAGAACGCATCTGTCTCCCACCATGAGCACCACATATGCCCAGTGGCCCTGCTTTCATTCCCTTAAAGGTGTTCAGGGAATGGGCCGTGGCCACAACATAGGCAGCACCCAGAACCTGTGAGGAGTGTAGCCCCTCAGCCCCTCAGGGCCCATGACAGGCTTCCAGGCCTCATGAGTCAGAGTCTGCATCTTAAAAAGGTTCCAGAGTTTGACCATGCCTTGGGGGAAGTGCCCTATGGGGAACAGAGGGAAACAGGGTGGCTGTAGCTTGGGCTGGGCCAGCCTAACCCAGGGGAGGGACTGGAAGAGGCAGTACTAACTGATTCTGCTCCCTTTTTCTATCTAGTTTCTAAAGGCCTTTTTGACTTTCTCCTTTAATTCAAATTTTTCTTTGCATAGACTTGAAAAATCCTCAAATTTTTCTTTGCACTTTGCACCTGGGGCCTGCACTGTTGTGAGTAGCAAAAGATAACCCATCTCACCGGTTCTGTCTCTGGGGGCCTTTCACACTACCCAGGTAGCCTTTCATCAGGCCCTGACACCCCTCTATTCCTCCTAAGCTCCCCCGCTCATACTGCCTGCAGAATACATTTATCTGAGCACTAATATTTAGTGGATGCTTCAAAGGGTTTGCCCGCCCCCTCCCCCTGCGTACTCACCACCCATCTCTCTTTCCTGCCTCACTCCCATGGCTCTCTCCTCCATCGGGTGATCCCAGTTCTTGAGAAGCTTATAGCCCAGTGACGAAAAGACAACATGCCTTACCAGATGCGGTGAGACAAGCAGCTAATAAACGCCCAGAGCAGAGGCTGTGAGGACACACAGTAGGGGGCATCTAACTACTTGGGGAAAGGTGCCATCAAGAGGTCTTGCTTGAGCTGAGCCCTGAATGCTAAGTGGCAGCTTGTCTTGTAGACAAGGAGGAGGGGCCTGAAGGAACAACGAACAGCCCAGGCATGTGAAAGAACACGGGGCAGGGGAGGGGTTCTCAGGAGCTGTAAGGAGCACAGAGTGGCTGGGGCAGGTTGGGGAGACATAAGCTGGAGAGGCTATAAGCCAAGCAAAGAACTGGGATTAAACTTTTGCTTCTGGGGGGGGGGGGGCTTCCCTGGTGGCGCAGGCAGTTGAGCATCGCACTATGAAGCTGTCCACAGCCTCTGCAGCGTGTGTTCAATCCCGGCCGGCTGGAGAGAATCCCACATGGTGTGGCAGAACTCTCCTCGCTGCTGCTTCCCTCAGCAATATATTTTTGTCAGTCTGCCTTTTCTGTGCCCCCCTCTGTCTCTGGTGAATCCTTTCACCCTCCTGCGCATCTGGCCTGTACCCTGGTTCTTGTATAAATAAATAAATCTTTAAAAAAAAACAAACAAAACTCTTGCTTCTGGGGCTTCCTGAGGGCTCTGTGCAGGGGAGTGCATGATCACTCTTTCTCCATCTTTTAAAATCCTGCCTATCCCACAGGGCTCTGATCGATGGCGTTCCCTGGCTGCCCCAACATGAGGGCACCTCATTTCTGGGCTCCTACTGCCATGCCCTTCCATGTGCCACTCTTCGAATTCTGTTTTGGTGGGATGCTTTCATGTGGGAACATCTTGACTCTTGCACTCAATTATGAGGCCTCTGGGGTCTGGACTTGTGTCTTATCCTGTTTCCTATTCCCCCACAGATTACACGCAGTGCGTGGCACATCACAGGCCCCTAATACAAGTTTGGGAATCAGCTCACCTTCTCGAACTGGTGGTTGTGGCTTGGATCTACCACCAGGGGGCAGCAGGTTGTACTGCTCAACTCACATCTCCTCTGCAGACATTAGCATCATTGTTTAGACCAGCTTGACTGCAACCATGTGCAAGGTAGACCATGCTTCAGGGCTTCAGTGGGGCACTGGGTAAGTGTGTGTGTGTATGGGGGAGCAGATGACCTCAGTCTGGGGGGATTTATGTACCTTCACTACAACACCACTTTGCCTTTCCCTGCTTCCCCTACATGCTCACCACTGGGGGTTGCTTAAAGGCAGAAGCCTAAGGAACGATGTCAAGTTGGGAGAGGCATCAGTGACCCCCTCTACTGAAAGTCTTGACCTAGTCCCTTGGCAGGTGCCCAGGCTGTTTTAACAGATGAGAAATTCTGAATCAATAAAAGAACAGTACCCTCCTTTCTCCCTGCTGGCCTCCCCCTCTTTCAGTCCTGGGAGGCCGCACAGAAGTGGGGCCTGAAGTAGGAAAAGGCAGTGCGAGCAGAGCAGGTTTCAGAGGACCCTTTGAGGCCCAGCTGTGCCACTTAGCCTCCACCCATTTTGGAGACATGGTAGATCTTCTCCCTTTCCGGTGGCTACAATTTCAGATGGACTTCATTTCTCTTTAAAGATGCAATGACAACCATAATTCCCAGGTCGAAGAGTGCTCCACAGTTTACCAAGCACTTCCATTCACATCTCCTCCCAGGGTAGAGGAGCACTAAGATAGCCCTAAATGAGTCCTGCCTCCTGGTAGCCATGTCTCATGTGCTCTCCTTTACCTGGAGGGTGGGGTACCCACCCATGACTTGCTTCTAACCAACAGAACACAGCCAAGGGGAGGGGGTGCCAATGCTGTGAATAGATTACCCATGCTCTGACTTCCCTCCTGCTAGCCAACTCTCTCGCGCACTGGTTTGGGGGCAGTAAGTTGTCATGATGGGGAGGCCCCGGTGGCAGGGAAGTAAGGGTGACCTATGACCATCAGTCCAACAGACAGTAGCCCAAAAGGAGGTGAACAATCACATAGGTGGAGGCAGAAGCAGGTCCCTCCCCTTCAGCTTTCAGAGGAAACTGTGCGCGTGGTCAACATCCCAGTGCAGCAGCGCAGCAACCGGCCCAGCTGCCGTGCCTGGACTCGTGACCCACAGACACTGTCAGATAACCTTGTGTGTCCTTTCAAACTGCTATGTTTCTGATAGTTTGTTATGCACAAAAGATATTGACTATATCTCCTTTGAGCCTTACAAATGCCACACAGGCAGGATGGGAAGCCAGACCCTAAGAGATTTGCTACGTCATAAAACAGCAATAGGCAGGACCCATGAGCAGTGCAGTGAGCCTCCTCTCAGACCAGCTGCCTCCCAATTAGCTTCCTGAGGATCACAGAAAGAGGTTCCTATGTTGCTTCCTGGGGCCAGCAGATCTGGGACAGACTAGATTCAGTGGTGGCAACTCAGGGACAGAGGCACTCAGAGGACAAAACTGTGGCCAGCTAAAGACTACCAAGGCCTACCCTCTGGGCTTGCTGGACCTCCCTCCCCACCCAACCCGGGCCCCGGACACCTTCTTCTGGGGGAAGAAGGGCTGGCCTATGCCTTACACTCACAGGAGACAGCAGGAGCAGCGATGGCCCAGTCACACAGGCTGTGCCCGAGCAGATAGCAGCTGGGGGTGCCTCATGGCCAAGGGCATCAGTCCCTGCAGAGGAGAGAGGGGAGGACAGTGAGAACTGGAGGGGCAGCTGAGAGGAAACAGGCTGGTGCCAGTACCTGGTGGTCACCTGCCAGCATCATGTAGTCACCACATGACTCTGCAGTCCACCAAAGGGGTTTGGTAATTGCCCTCTATGGCTGCCCCAACTCTGAGGCCCCAGGTCAGGGAATAGACCTCCAAGACACATCTTACTCCCTCCTGTTCCCTTCCTTCTGTTCTGCTATCTAGAATCCTCTGCAGGCCACAGGGCAAGGGCTTCTCTGTTCCATAAAGTGGGGCTCAATGAGGGGAAGTCCTGGCTGGAATGGAGTCCAGTTGCCTCTTTCAAGCCCTGCTAGGTAGTTTGGTCCCCTGGTGCACATGCCCCTGTTGCCCGCATGGTGGATCCCAGCCTCCACACTCCAGGCCTCTGTCTCTGTGCTTTCCCTCTCTGTCCCTGGGCCTGTCGATATTACCAGTGCCCAGAGCCGCACACTCCTTTTGCTTCCAACTTGCCTCAGCTAACATGGCAGCTGAACAGCCAGATGGACAAGGCTGATGCGTGCTGATGGAGGGGGAAGGCAGGACCCTACGGAGACACTGAGGTCTCTGGTATGAGCTAGTATTGAAGTTCCTTCACACCAAATTCCCTAAATATCCCCTTAAATAGCTAAACATTTAGAGGACAGTCTGGGCCCCTACACAGGGAAGGGGGTTGGGGGAAGGGCACCATCTAGTGGGGACCTTGTTTACTCTGTTGTCCTGAGGAAGAGCGGTCCCACTGGTGTGTTTGTATTGGGGAGGGAACCCAACCCAGACCACAGCTACCTGGGGACAGGGTCGACCAACCTCAGAGTCTCTGCCTCCACCAGAAGCTAGGGGTCAAAGAGCAGACACCTGTGTGCCTCTCAGGCTGACTCACCTGAGTCCAGCATGTCTCAGGAGCAGAGCTTGGGGAGAAGCTGAAAAGAAGGCAAATATTCACGTGCAGTGCCCTGCCCCTCCTTCCCCTCTCCCTTCTTGAGCTAGGTCTCCCAGCTCCCGCCTTGGATGTTTTGGGCACTCAGCCTTACTTTTCTCAAAGATGTTCTCACGCTCATTAAGATGGAAGTTATAGGGGCCTCCCTGGTGGCGCAGGCGGTTGAGCACCGCACTGTGAAGCTGTCCGCAGCCTCTGCAGCCTGGGTTCAATCCCAGCTGGCCGGCAAAAATCCCACATGGCGAAGCAGACCTCTCCTGTCTGGCCCGCTGCTCCCCTCAGCAGTGTATTTCGTCAGTCTGCCTGTTCTGTTCCCCGCTCTGTCTCTTGTGAGTCCTCTACCCTCCCAAATATCTGGCCTGTACCCTGGTTCTTGTATAAATAAAAACATCTTTAAAAAAAATGGAAGTTTCATGCAGCTGGATGTCAGAGCGGGGCTCTTGAGATGCCAGTCAGAAGAGTTAAGTGAGTTTGGGACAAGCCCCTCTGTTTGATGATGGGCAGGGATAAGATACTTGGAGACATGAGCATGTCTGTTTCAGGACATGCCCCTTTCTTCACTTTGTATCATGCAGATGGGTCAATAATTTGGTAAAGATTTCCTTGGGAAGAGCTGTTGCTGACCTCTTCTCCTCTCTAAGGAGACTGAAATGTTGGCACAGGCTGGACCAGCTCAGTCGTGCCCAATTGTGCCTCCTAGAGGTGAGAGAAGACCCTCCCCCCTTCCGGGACCTGCCCTCCAGTCAATAAGGCTGGCAGTGGGTTCCAGATGCCCAAGAGCAAAGCAAGGATTTGCAAGGAATGCCTGGAATAAAGACTATATGCTCCCTTGGGGCCTAGCACAGAACCTCACAAAACCTAGTACAAAAGAGCTCACAAGGGCCTCCCCGGTGGTGCAGCGGTTGAGCGCTGGGTTGCGAAGCTGCTCGCGGCCTCTGCGGCGCCGGTTCGATCCCCGGCTGCTCCCCGGCCACCAGAGGAGGGTCCCACATGGCGTGCAGACCTCTCCTGCCGCCCGCTGCTCCCCTCAGCAGTGTACTTCGGTCCTTCTGCCTGCTCTGCTTCCCGCTCTGGCTCTGGTGAATTCTCTCACCCTCCTGCGCTTCTGACTGTACCCAGTGCATGTATAAACAAAACAAACAAACAAATAAATAAATAAATAAAACACGCCTCTATTTAAAAAAAAAAAAAAAAGAGTTCACAAAAACACTCACATATTGATTGCTGCACTATTCACAATAGCCAAACTACGGGGAAAAACCAATCCCTGACTACAGAGGATTAAGAAAATGTGGTATAGATACACAATGGAATACTATGCAGTAATAAAAAGGTGAAAGCTTGCCATTTGCAACAACTTGGGGGAATTGTGCTAAGTAAAAGAAGTCAAACACCAAAACGCAGGTACTGGGGCCTCCCTGGTGGCACAAGGGGTTAAGACTCAACCTATGAAGCTGTCTGCAGCCACTGCAGCACGAGTTTGATCCCCGGCCAGGGAGATAAGCACATGGTGCAGCAGACCTCTCCTGACTCGCCTGCTGCTCCCCTCAGCAGTGTATTTCAGTCAGTCTGCCTGTTATGCTCCCCACTCTGTCTCTGGTGAATCCTCTCACCCCCCACACTTCTGGCCTGTACCCCACTTCTTGTATACATAAACTAAATAAATTAAAAAAAAAAAGAAAGACAGGTACTGTAGGATTTAATTCATTTGTAAAATATATATATTTTATACACCAAATATAAATACACACACACACACACACACACACACACACCTCCCCCAAAACAAAAACACATAAATTCTGACAACAAAATGGTGGTTACAAGACGAGAAAGAGGAGGGGAGGTATAGGTTGATGGTGGATGGGAACTGGACAATTGGTGGTGGGCATGGTGTGATATATCCAGTTGCTGAGGTGAGAAATTGCATACCTGAAACCTAAAGAGTGTTATAAACTAATGCAATTTCAACAAAAAGAATAAAAAGGATTTTTTTTGGTGACATGATATATTGTATTACATATTGAAAGTTTTTTAGAGAATAAAACATGAAAGTCTTAATTGCAAGAAAAAACACTTTTACAAGTATATATGGCAAAGATGTTAACCAGACTTATTATGATACTGCATAATATATATAAATATCAATCATAATGCTGTCCACCAGAAACTATGTTACACATGCCAATTACACCTTGATAAAAAATTTTAACAAAAGCAAGAGCAAGTTTGGAACTTCTCCCAGCTCTCTTGACCAGTAAGAATTCCCCACATCAATCCTAGCAGCTAGTGAAACAGCAGCTCTTAGGGAGACAGGGTCATAAAATTAGGGAGAATGCAGACAGCAGGGCTACTGGCTTACTGCCCCCACTGCTTCCAGCCTGAAGCAGACCCAAACTTGGGGCAAGGAGAAGAATAACCCTGTCAGGAGTGGCGTGCTTTGATTATTACTGTGACTGGCATTCTAATTTCTGAGTTGAGACTGTATTTGTAACTTAAGTGTGACTACAAGGTGGTTGCCTAAAAGTGAATGAAAAAACAATGGGACTCGCCCACATTTTCATCTGGGGGCAGGGGATTTTCTTCCACGGAATACATTTTAAAGTAAAGAGACGCTTAAAGGGGAAAAAAAAATCAAAGTTGCTTTTTGAGCACAAATCATGCAGCATGCCTGTTTCAGAACTCCACTTACAGAAACATGGATCCATGGAAATGGAAGGACTCTAAGGAATTTTGCCCCAAGCATTGAAGAAACCAATTTCAGAGAGGACAAGTGACTTGCTTAACCACACACAGCAAAATGGAAACACAGCTGGAGAGATGATGGAATGGAGCCTCTTGATCCCGGGCCAGAACCTGCCATTAGGATGCTTCTCTCTTAGAAGATCCACTCTTATTTCCCCAGGAACTAAGGTGTCCCCTGAAGTCGAGTCTCTCAAGTTGGCTTGATGGTAACAATTGCCTGGGCCACCTGTTAAAAAACAGAGACTCCAGGGGCCTCCCTGGTGGTGCAAGGGGTTAAGCACAGCACTATGAAGCTATCTGCAGCCTCTGCAGCACGAGTTCAATCCCCGGCCAGGGCGCTACCCACATGGCACAGCAGACCTCTCCTGACTCACCCGCTGCTCCCCTCAGCAGTGTATTTCAGACATTCTGCCTGTTCTGTTCCCCACTCTGTCTCTGGTGAATCCTCTCACCCAGCCCCCCGCACCTGTAGCCTGTACCCCAGTTCTTGTATACACTAAACAAACAAATAAATAAATAAAAAACAGAGACTCCAGATCAACTAAAGCAGCACCTGGAGGGAGGGACCTGGGAATCTGTATGCTTAAACAGGGTTGTGTCTTATCATCTGGTCCTTTTGGGAAATGATGCAGGAATGAAGATAATTGGGAGAATTTCAGCCTGGAGGTAGCAGGGAAGGTGGGTGACCTTGTGGCATCATCAGCTGCTCATAACAAGACTGGCTCTGGAATCCATGTCCTTCGGGCCCTTGGGGCAGGAGGCAGGAGGCAGGAGGAGGAGAATGCAAGGAGAGCCAAAGGTATTTGGCATCCAGGGCTGGCGTGGAGCCAATGAAGAGGTCAGGTTGGGGACCTTACAGGCCATCCTTCTAGCAGAGGCTGGTGGGGCATTATAAGTCACCCTGATAGTACATGCAGGGAGGTAGGTCCCCCTCTCCTCATGAAGCCAGGGGTCTGTGCTCTCTATGCCTGGCCCCTTCCCACAGTGCCTTCAGCTCACAGAGGGAGAGTGACCCCCCTCACTGCCAAGGCAAACGCTGGCAGGAACTGCCAGTCACAGCTGGCACTGGCATGTGTAATTAACAGCATGCTACCCCCTGCGCTCTTCTTGGCCCCCTTAGGAGCACCAGTTAATTGAGTGGGGCCTAAGCACCACCCACTGATCTCAATCTCTTTCGATGCAATTAAGCCTTCTCCAATCATTTATTTGAAACTGACACAGAAGATTAGCAGCCCGGGAGCAGAGGAAATTTTTTTCCTTGTTACCTGTCTTCCTGAACTGC